TGTATTTTTTGTCTTTTTGGACTAAAAAAGTTGAGAAAAAAATATGGAGGTTTGGGTTAACTTTTTGACTTTTTATAGAAAAATGTGTATTAAAAAATTGTATAAGAGATGATTAGAGAGGGGTGGGCCCCAGCCGTACAACCGGCTGGGGTGAATTGGGGTTGGAAATTAATGGCTAATTTTTGTACAAAGCACTGGACGGTTTTGTTTGGCCCGTGGGGGTCATCACGGGTCCCATTTTAATAATCTGAACCGTGCAATATGTGTAACTCGTCGAACACTATGTACTTATAAAAAATCACGTTAATCGGATATCGATAGCTATCTGATCAGATTTATTTATTTTTCAATCATTAATTATAACACCATCCATTTGTTGTACATAACTGATTTGATCATATAGTTATCGATATCCGATCAATGTGATTTTTTGCAGACATATAGTACTTGACGATTTCTACACATTGAACAGTTCAGATTATTAAAACGGGACCCGTGATGACCTCCATGTGACGAACAACGGTGTGTGTAAAAACCACACCCAATCATTTCTTTTTCCTCCACTGCCGCACACAGCACTGCCGCACACATCAATTCGGTGAATAGTGATTTTGAAGAAAATTGATTTTTTAATTTTTTTTTTTTGGTGAATAGTGATATCTTTTTGAATTTTGGAGTAACTTTTTGACTTTTTAACTTATATAGGATAAGCCAAACCAGCCCTTAGTCTTCCCAAACTTGACCTAAATAATTTTTTGACTTTTTAAATTTTTCATGATTCCAAACTTGGCCTTATTTAGGATATCATTTCCCCAATTTTAGATTCTGTACTAAAAATAAAATTATTGGATAAAAAGTATTTACATTCAAATTTCCGCTCATCACGCTCGTTCCTGTAAAAGAGATTTTTTTTTTTTTAAAAAAATTTTTTTTTTTTTTTTTTTTTTTTTTTTTTTTTGGGTTGGAGGGTTTTTATTGTAGATCTACAAGCAAAGCAAACCAGAGAGATTCCATTTATTTAATTTTTTTACTATTTTTCCATTGGTCAGTTTGACCCCTAACTGTCCTGACCTTTACCGCCCCACCTCTTATTCAGGGTCTTTGTTTGTTTAGAGTGATCAATCATTGAGCCAAAAAAATCGGTTTTCGCACCTCTATTCTGCATTTTCAAGGTTTTTGTTGAAATCTGCACGTCTTGTTCTATTTGCATGAGTGTATTATAATTTATAATAAAAGATAATCTTCGTAAGTAGTTCATGATTGCTGTTTTCTGGGTCTAGGGTCTCTAAAACTTGTAGGGGCTTTGAAATTTCACACTCATTTCTTACATGAAATCTTGAATTTCTTAGAGTTTTTCTGCCTAGGGTTTCTGTCTTTCTTTTTTTTTATTTTTTATATTTCTTTATTGTATCGAGGAGATCTGGCTTCAGTTTTACTCCATTGTAATTATTTTGTTATATAATTGAAGAAAGACTGTTTTTGTGAGTGAAACTTGCAATTTAAACAACTGGGTATGTGTGTTTTCATGCTAACAAGTGCTCATTGCAACTGAGAAAGAACATTTCTCACAGTAGAGGTGGTATTGGTATCAGATCAAAGTATGCCTTTTTTTTTTTTTTTATTTAGGGTTTGGAATCTTTTGGGTCTCTTTGAGTAGTAGGGATTTGGCTTGATTTCAATTTTTTTTTTTTTTTCCAATGTTGGTGGGAAAATTGTGTACCATTTTGTGCATCAATCTTCAATTTTTTTCGGATTGTAGGGTTGAGAGATGTTCATTTCTACTGAGAAAGAAGTACAGATCTCACAGCCTTCAGAAAATGGGATGGAGTCTCCCAAATCATCCCCTTTGGGCTCAAACCCAGATTGCCCTGTTGCCCTGCTACCGGCTTCCGAAATACCCAATTCTCCTCCGGTTCCCGCCATTTCCACTGATGTAAATGTGGTTCCTGAGCATGAAAAGGATGAGCTTGAGAGGACAATATCAAATCTGGAAGGTAAAATTATCTGGATGTTGATTTGTAATATTGGTTGCTGTTAATTTTTTATTATTTGAATTTGAATGTGTTTTGTTGATTTGTTAATTTAGGAGAAATTATGGGGTTGAGGCTGAAGCAGAAATCTTTGGATGAGAAGAGAAGAGAAGCATTGAATAAGATATTAGACACCAAAGGTAATAAAATGCAATAAAATTGATTCGATCATTCATCTATTTGAACTGTATTTATGAAAAATTTATTTCAATTTGTAGGCTGCATTAGAGTATTTTGTCGAATTCGGCCCTTTTTATCAACCAAGAAGAGAATTCACCAACCTATTGTGGTTGGATCAGAAAGGATTGTGGTTGGATCTGCTGGAAATAGGAAAGAATTCGGGTTTGATAAAGTGTTCCTTCAGGAAGCAACCCAAGGTTGGCATCCAGCTTTCTTGTGTTTTTGTAAAATGTTATTTTTTCCCCCCCCCCCAATTGTAGTAATAGATTTTGTAATGCTTTAATATTTGTGTAGAGGATGTTTTTGTTGAGGTTGAACCAATCCTCAGATCTGCACTACATGGGCACAATGTATGTATTTTAGCTTATGGGCAAACAGGCACTGGCAAGACCTTCACAATGGTCAGTGGTAGATGTTTAAATTTTATCATTCTTTCACAATTGCTGTTGAAAAATATACTATTTGGTTATCAACACTTGTTGGTTTGAATTGTTCTCTAGGATGGGACAAATGCTTCACCGGGGCTTGTTCTTCGAGCTCTTCAAGAGCTGTTTCACCAAGCCTCTCTGGATAGCTCTGCTACATATTCTTTTTCAATGAGCATGTTGGAAGTTTACTTGGGTAATCTAAGAGACCTATTAGCTCCAAAACCATGTAGATCATATGGACCTGTCTCAAGATGGTAACTAATCCCACCTCACATACACAAACTGAGTAATGATTGTTAGGTCATTTGTTACATTGCTTACTATGATTTGGCTAACTCTACTACAGCAATCTCAACATTCAAACAGATGTTAAGGGATTTGTGGAAATTGAAGGTCTAACAGAAGTGGAGATCTCAAATTTTACAAAAGCAAGTTGGTGGTACGCCAAGGGTAGGCGGATTAGATCTACTTCATGGACTAATGTCAACGAGACATCAAGCAGATCTCATTGGTGGGTTCTTAGTCATTTCGAAATATTCACTTTTTAGGTGGATTAATTGGACTTACATTATCTCTTTAGTTCTATATATCTAGCTTAATGAGGATCAACATTTTCCGACACGAGGATGCTTCAGGAGGAAAAGTAGAAGTAAGCAAATTGTGGATGGTTGATCTCGGAGGAAGTGAGCGACTGTTAAAAACAGGAGCGACTGGCCAAACACTCGATGAGGGAAGGGCCATAAATCTCTCTCTTTCAGCTCTAGGTGATGTTGTTGCAGCCCTCAAACGAAAGCGAGGTCATGTTCCATACAGGTGATTTTAAGCCCAGAAATGTTTATATATGTTTAAATGAATTATGGGCTGTAGATTAAGTAGTTAATATTTCTTCTTGTGATTAAAACTATAATGTGTGGTTGTTGCAGAAATAGCAAGCTAACTCAAATTCTCAAAGATTCCCTTGGTAGAGTATTTCATTTCCATTTTTCTTTATCTCTGTTTCCTTTAATTAGACAGTGTGTTGTGGACTGTGGATATCTAGAACGAATTTAGAACATTTCTGTTTTAACTTGCATAAAACTTGGAGTTCATTCGTTTTCATTGACATTTTCAACAAGCTCATTTTTGTGCATTTGCAAGACATGAAATTCAGTTAATTATGATGTTTAAAATACTTCTATTAATGCCCTATCAACTGTTGGAATTGCAAAATCTCTTACGCCTCCTTTTCCTTGATGATTGATTTAGGTGATAGATCAAAGGTATTGATGTTAGTGCACATAAGCCAATGTGAAAATGATGTTCTAGAGACAACCTGTTCACTGGCATTTGCACAGAGAGCAAGAGCCGTTGAATCCACCAGAGAACTCACAGAGGTACTCTTCTCTTATTTCTTTGTAATTGAATGAAAAGGTGTAGGAAAACAAAATCTGATCACAGAATTGGACACAACTCTCTTACATGAGGGGGGTCTCAATTTTTTCTGGGTCCTACACCAATGTGAGATGGTTGTGTTTGGTTATGTGCAAGTAGAAGAACTGTAATTGAATAGATGCTAATGTTTCAAATTCATCAACTGTTATTTATCATGTGCATCATTTCAGGACCTGAAGAAGCAAAAGGAAAAGAGGATTGCCGAGCTTGAGGAAGAGTTCAGGGACGCTGAGGAAGAATATGAAAAGGTTTGGAATCAAACACAAAACGCTGAGTTGTTGTTAAGTGAAAAAAAAAGTCACTTCGCAGCCAAGTTTCAGCTTCTTGAAGATGAGAGTAAGACTCCCACAAGTGGCAAAGAGTTTGTTGAAGTTCTGGAAACCCCTAGAACGTCTGATAAAGTAATTAAAAGGAAAGTTAACACATCCGTGCCTCGTTTCATGAATCCCACCATGGCCAGTCGCCAAAGGCAGAGTGCCGCAGAAAGAGAAGTTGATGCCAGGGCAAGAATGTTGAGATCAGGGACTAGAAGTTCAATCCAAATTTCGGGTTCACATTCACTCAGTTATTCAGATCCTCATTTCAAAGCACTTTTACAGAATTCGAACAAAAAAACCCGACATGGATATATAAATGCTCCCCTCAGTGAGAGTAACAAATGCAATGTCTCGGATTCCAAACCATCCACTACACCACGGGCTAAGATGGTCAGTTGTTCAGATCCAAACTTGAAAACTACACTTAGTCGTCACAGAAGAAGAATGTCTGATCTGATCTAAGGTAAAAGAATACTGATAAGTGATCTTGTGTGCTTCTTGTAAAATGTGATTTTGTTTTTTGTTTTTTGTTTTTGATCCAGAGTTTTCAATGGAGTGAGTATTCTGGCATCATGTATCTTTGATAGGGTGTGTGGTTTGATAAAGCTGGTTAGGACCTGTCAGTTATTTGTTTACAGGATCCTTGCAACTAACATGGTTTGTTTTGGTTTTATGTATTTGAGTGAGAAAAAAAATATATATATATATATATTTTACATGATACTTGTAATCCAGAAATGGGGTCTGTAGTATTTGTTAAGACCGTGTGGCATGAAGTATCATCATGAAACTTATGTTGGATTTCGATTGGTTATTTATTAAGACATTATCATATTTGCACTCCATTTTAAATCAAATAAGGCCATGTCATGCACAACTTTCACCCAAAAAAATTGTTGTGTAGTGAAGATTCATTTTACCTATCGGTCCAAGATGAATTTAAATCCACATCATTTTTAAAAATATATATATATATATATGTATTTGTGGGAACATTTTTGGTATATGATTATGTACTTTTAAACCTCTTGCTTTTTAATTTTGGTCTTTTAACCATTCATTGAGAAAGTGAAAAACTAAAAAGCCAAATGCGAATATCATTATTTAATCTTTTTTATGATCCCATTTCATTATTCATTCTAATAGTAGGGAGTTTGGAATGATCCTACTTTGTCCTATTACTTAAAATGGCTACAGACAGATTAGTAAGGTGACTTTTCTATTCATAATCTAATGTACTTGCAAAGTGAAAGGAATTATGTTATATAGATAGCCACCATAATTCCATGGGTCCCCAGGTTGATGATCTGTGCTTGTGTTGAACCTTCTCTTTGAAAACTGATTTTTGTTTTTATTTTTTATTCTTATTCTATTTTTTTTATTTTTGTATTTTTTGTGTTTTTTTTTAATCGCATATAGTCTTTGCATTGTAATGGGATGCTTGATGAATCTTTTCCTATATCTTCCCAATTCCCAAATGCACAAATTCTTTCATTTATTTTAGGGGAAATTACAGATAAAAGGAAATTGGAGGGAAACATTACAAAAATATTGGTAATCAATTTTGATTATGAAAAATGTTTAGGAGCACTAATAGAGCACCTCCAATCTACTCATAATGATGTGGAATGGAGAATTTGAAGGGATGAACCTACACTTCTCATCCCTTCTGTCTCTATTCTCTCTCTCTTCCATCTTAGGAATTAAAATAGTGGTGCTATATTAGGGATGTAGCATAGTTGTTTAATTATAGGGGTGGAAAGTTAGAAAAAGGGTTTATTACAGTTTATACCCCTAAACTATTGTCAAATTGCCTATTTTGTCCCTAAATTATTGATTGAGCAAAATTTATTTAGTTCTTAAACTATCAATTGAATTTATTAAGTCCTTAAAGCATTTAATTCAAATCTATTTAGTTAATGAAATGATTACAAAAATAAAATATATACCCAAAAGTATTATAAATTAGTGAAAGAGCCTACCTAATTAAGATTTTATTAAAAAAATCTTAAATTTTTATCTTTTCTTTAAAAAGTGTTTTATTTCATTGTGTGTTTAAATTTAGTATTAGAATTTGATTTCTTAATCTTGCCAATAAATTATATGAGTACTAGATATATTAAAGAAGTAGAATTTGATAATTTAAATAATAACGCTTCACTACAAATAATAATCGAACAAAATAATAGATTAATTAAGTTATAAAAATAACTTAGCGAAAAGCTTAGAAACAATAAATTATAAATTAAAAACCAAATCTGGTATATAATATTAGATAAAGACAAGCATGTAGCCATTGTAGAAAATAAGTAAGAAAATACTATAAATAATTACCCTTAGTCTTATGAAGAAAATTCACCATAAGAACTTATATTCACTTTTCAAAGAAAAAAAAAAAGAAGAAGATTTTTTTTTTAAAAAAATTTAACTAGATAAGATTTTTACTAATTTATAATTTTTATGGGTTTATACTTTATTTTTTAATCCTTTCAAGAACTAAATATATTTAAATTAAATACTTTAGAAACTTAACAGATTCAATCGATAGTATAAAGACTAAATGAGTTTTGATTTATATATTTTAGGAATTTAATAGATTCAATCTTCATAAACTAAGTAGACAAATTAGAAATAATTTAAAAGTATAAAATGTAATAAACCTAAGAAAAAAATTACACAAACATGATTCGTTTCTCTTCTCTTCTTCTTCATCCATCATTTAATTCCTCTGCAACCCTATCCTTAGCATTCCTTGCCATCTATCTCTATCGTCGCCTCATATCATCCTTAGCCCTCCCCTACCACTTACAACATCCCTAAACCTCTCTCAACTTCGTTGCCACTTCCAGCCCTCTTCTTTCTCGCTTGTCATCCACTGTGACACACCTTCACTCAAAGAGCTTCTTTTTTATGGCTTTCACAATCTCAAATCCGCTAAGCCCCCCATCTCTATTCCCTTCATTTTGGTGTTGACCCAGGATAGGACCATGATTTCATCATTGGAAGGGCTAGACAACAAAAAATATTTTTCATTATACAAGATATGAGAAGAATGTGATATATATCTTTTATTCTAAAAGGTCATCTTATTTATAAAATAAGATATATATTTTTAGAAGTGCTATGGCAAATAGAATTTTTCCCACAAACAGGGGTGTCATGGCCCCTTATAGTCTTTTCTTAGTTAGGGATGACCATTTTAAGTCGATCCGCAGAGGGCTCGGTCATACCTGCCCAAATGGGGCGGATTTTACCAGACCTGACAATTATGTGAGGCAAGAGTGGATTATATTTTGGTCACCCGCAATGGGGGTGGGGCAGGGGCATGTATTGCCTTTTCCGATCCAAATCCGACCTAATATAATTAATAATATATATATATATATATGTATATATATATAATATAATTAGATATAAGAAAGGAATATTAAAAGTTTGTAGATCTGTTTAAATAAATAAATAATAATCCTAAAAGTTTCACTATTTATATATATGGAAACAAGAGAAATTATTTAGTGTGTTAAGAATTCAAATAGTTCTCAATTTTTTTGACTTTTTGAAATGTGGTCGAGTATCTGTGGGTATCTATGGGGACAGGGATATGGTTGAAAAATTCCAGCCGTAGCGCGGTTGGGGCTGGGGCGAGGGCAGGGACGGGGACGGAGGCAGAGGATAACAAACCCGTCCCAAACCTGCCTTGTGGCCATCCCTACTCCTAGTTCCATCTCTGGTGTTGACGAATCAACTCGTATGTAGGAGAGTATAGAGAAAGGACAAGAGGGTCAAAAGAGAGTGGAAGAGTGACAGAGGAGGTCAAGAAGAATGGGAAGGATAGGCGTAGGTTTGGAGAAGGTAGTAATGGATTTGGTATTAATAGAGTTGGATGGTGGAGGGGTAGTTGGTGATCGAAAAGGTTGAAGAAGGAGTGATCGATAAGGGAAGGGGTTAAGGGAGGAAAGAGGAAGAGAGATGAGAGAATAAGAATGGACTATTGGTGGGGAAGGGGGTGCTGATTTGCTAAAGGTGAGTGGTGCTTTATAAATCTTGGAAGGGTTTTGGTTTTGCTGTGTTAGGAGGGTAGTAGGTAGTGAAGGAGGGGTAAGGAGGGACTAGGGAAGTTGGGAGAGCATAAGGGAAAGTGGGGTTGAGGCTAAAGGTGGCAGTGGTTGCAGCAAGTGAAAAAGAGATGACTAGTGGAGAGGTAGCGGAGGAGGGGTGGCCATTACAGGAGGAGTTGAAAGAGAGAAAAGAGATAAAGATGGCGACACGAGAGAGGCTGAGAGGCATCTTTTTTTTGATGGATTCCACTTCACTCCACTCCACTCTACTCCCTTCTATTTTATTTTATTTTATATTTTTAACTCCCTATATTTTTATAATTTTCTTTTTTTTCTATAATTTCAATTTATATGCAATTTTCCCTTCATTCTATAGATAATTAGTTTTGCTAATCATGAGATTGCATTATGAGAGTGATATGGGCCATTTTTATGAATATCTAGGTTAAATTACACTTATATCTCTTTGAGCTTAGAGAAAATACAACCCTAACCCTAACATTAATCTTAACCCACTATTTTTCTTTTTCTTTTTTTTCATCACCATTGCATAGCCCTCTTGTGTTCCAAGCCTCTCTACAAATTCTCTAGATCTAGTTGAGGTGCCAGTGTAATTTATCAATTTTTTTAGTCAGTGATTTAAATCAGAATAATGAAAACTTAAGAATTGAATACTGGCACGTGATTATCTATCATGTTGTAGAGGGATAGAAATTAACGGAGAAATTAAGTACGGACCTAAGTGCTGAGGTTGCCTCTGTTAGGCGAGCAAGAATAATTAAAGGAACATGGGCTAAAACCCAGGGAAGTGGGTCAACAGAGGGCCAAAATATAGTGATCCCGGTTCTTCCTCATTTGGTGGTTGTATTCGGACTTGGTTCCGTGGATGTCGGTTGTGGTTTATATTTTGTTTCCATCCTTCAATACTTTGTAATTGAGTTATAGGATGTTTTGGGCAGGATTGTTACAGATTGGGTGTGATTGGGAGCAAATGGTTGTTGCCCAGAATTTTGGTCCTTCGCTCGAGCGAGCCTGTTGTCGCTCGAGCGAGCTCTATGTTTTAGATCCTTCGCTCAAGTCAGGGTTTCTTCGCTCGAACGAGAGTTGAGTTTTGTATCTAGTGGCTCGAGTGAGAAGTCCTTCGCTCGAGCTTGCGTCTGCGTCCGGTTCTAGACCTGAGAGTTGCAATCCTTGGCTCGAGCGAGCTTTCCTTCGCTCGAGCAAGCGAAGACTATGATTTGGAGTTCTTCGCTCGAGCGAGCTTTTCTTCGCTCGAGCGTGCTTCTGGTTACAGACCTAAAGCTTCGCATTGTTGGCTCGAGCGAGGCTTTCTACGCTCGAGCGAGGGTTCTTTGTGTCTGGTCACTCGAGCGAGCCTGTGTTATATCAGTAGACAGCAGCGAGGAAACACGTCACTTTTTATCCTCTTTTGCTTTCAAAACCCTGGATATGTCCGCTCTCTCTCTATATATACACATTCTCTCTAGGGTTTCATCTATTTTTAGTGTGTTTCTACCTTAAGTTCTTTGTAAGAAAGATAGAGGGTTGTGTAGGCTACGTTTTAATCTGAAAATTTGTGGATTTGGAGCACTTTGGATTTTCACCATCTTCTCCTTTGGTCTCTTCATTTCGAGGTAGGGATACCCTACTCCATCTTATGAGTTT